AGGGTAAATAGATGACACAGATAATCAATAAAAACTTGGCGTGTTTGTGTCACATAGTACTGTACCTGTCACGTCTCCAACAACGTAATAGTAATAATAATAAGAAGGGGAAGGAAAAATTCACATAGATAAAAAAAACCGCAAATCAGCAGCGAAGCAACTATGAAGATGTCTAAAACTATTACTTGTAGTACTCACTTAATCTGCATATGTTATTATTATATCCAATTTTTAGAAGCAATTTCTCAACAGTCCCTGAAGCAATTTTTTTCTCTCTCTCTAAACGCACACTCTCTAAGTGCAACTTTTCTATGTATAATTATTTGGATGAGAATATAGAAAATCAGATAATTCATCTGAGTTCATAGCAGGGTCTAGGAGCATGCAAAGCTGGAGATACCTGTGGGTGTGATGTTTAGAATGGCCTAGTGAAATACGCCAGAGAATATTTGCTGTGCAATAGAGAAGATTAATGGGCTATTACTATGGAAATCTGTACTTATACTAAGGACGCGCAAAACCAAAACAAATAAACAATTTCGTGTAACTTTATGATTGATTGTTGTTATGAGCAAGGCATTACACTTGAAAGGCAGAATATAAATAGTTAATAATTTTGTGGACACAACGGTTGGTTCAAGTAATTCAACCTCTTAACACGCCGTTGTATCCATAGCTTTTTGGATAATATAAATACAACCAACCCTTCCTATTCCCTTAAAATGTTTTTATCTACATATAGCAGTTATAGTTGGTCAAGCTTATTGAATCCGCCTTTCTGCTTTCACCTTTTCTTATGGTGTTTAGAAAAAATAAGACAATATCTTACTTTGCCCCTGTAAAGGTTCCCAGTTGTAGCTAGATTCATGTGATGGCCTTCCAAGGCCTCCTTATCCTCTCGAATTTCGGCCTCCTGTTTAATAATCCTTGTGGAGAGTAACCTTTGGCTCCTAGAAGAGATTGGTTATGTCAACTTTACAGCAACAAACAGCAATACAATCACAACACCCATGTATGGCCAATAAAGGACAATACATCACAACATTTCAGCTGCCCCTACCCCCCCCTATGTACACTTTATATTGAATGCTAGCTCAAGTATCAATAAACAGTGGGATGAAATACAGAGCAGCAAAGTACATTCTACAATACAAGCGAATAAAAAGACATTAACCAGGAATGAATGAATTAAAATCCCTTTAATATTGAGACTGGCTGCTAATACTAAGTCAAGATTATGTTGAAGAAATCCATTTACTGAGGAGATCAAGGAAAGTTCAGTGACTTTCAGATTCCCTAACTCTGGTATCTGGTCCAACTGAGGAGGTTCAGTGACCTTCAGATTCCCTAACTCTGGTTTCTGATCCAATTGGACCATCTCATACTTCTGTGGTGGAGTACTCAATTGCTCAACAAGAGCACATGAATCTACAGACTATTGTTTTTTGAGTACATGGACAATAAATATAAAGTAAACCAGCCACTCCCAATGAATCTACTGATCTTAGAAATAAGATATCATATTCATGTTATGCTGAATACAAAGATGCAGAAAAAAAACCAACAGTATCAGAAAGCAGCTGAACTAGGATATGCTCCTGAGTGGATCCTAATCTGGACTATCCTTACTTTAACTACTATTGCGAGGGACTTTTATTCACAACAAGGTGCTTGCTAAAGCCCAGTTTGAGCTGTTTTTATCTATCTACAATACATGCAGAGGAAGAGAATAAAGTCCTAAATTGCCTTACTTTCCTTCAGAAAAAAAAGAAGAGAAGCAGAAAAAGCTTACTATTACTATACTAATACTAATACATCTATTAATAATTTATAAACAAGTAGAAATGTCCTTGTTATGAATATGTCTTTGTAAATGTAATTATAGTCAGCTATCTGAATAACACCAAAATAAAAAGCATTATTATTATACTAGTTACAAATGTTTCAATGGTATTACTTATTTATTATTAGTAAGAACATCTTTGTAATTATAATGTATAATTATGTTCTAACAAAGAGATTAACTATAACTTTTTTAAATGCTGAGTAGTATGCTTAGTATGTCTCAAAGATCAAGTGGCATTGTTATTGTGTGTAGTTATTATTATAATGTGCGATGTGAGACATGCAGTGTGTCTATTATTAGTTTGCTATGCACAACCACATTAGAATGGATTTGGTAAGTATAATATATAAGAAGCATTTTGAGAAATTTAATTAATATTAACTAATTGAATCTTGACATGTTTACTGTTATATAATAATAATTGCTTTTTATTTTCTAAAATAATAAAATTCCAGTTGGATGGTCCATTTGTCTTTTGATTTAACAAAGTTGACTACAACCTCAGTTCCATTGCATCACCAATAGATCGGTATGGGAAGGAAAAACTTGCCCTTGTCAAGTCTAGGTCTAAAAGGCGTATTCCCGCTCAATAATACAATCTGTGGCACAGTGAATATTTGGCACACAAGCGACACCAGATTTGGTGTCAGATATAAATAATATAGATGACCCGATATATCCACATCTGGTGTCAAATTACTACGCAGCTGATCGCTCCGGATATATCGAAATATGGTGTGAAACGGTAGTTAGACATATAAGCAGTTGTTTTTCCGCTCTGAACATGGTCTTCAGTTTAGTCTTCAGTATTTGATTCTATTTGTCCTTATAATCCTTGTAATTAGAATAGCTCTTAGAATTCTAATAAATCTGTAATTAATATAAATTGTTATTTTCGTTCATTCCCTAGTGAGTTTTATTCGATTGCTGGTTAAGTGATAAAATCGCTTTCTCGATCAGCGGTTAATAAGTTTGATCTTGCCATTAAACTTATCGGAACTTA